ATTTTCTCAATTGAAGTCCCTCTTCCCAGACAATACCTGTGCAGCACTGATTCTTTCTTTTGCTCAGGGATCTTATTAACCCCAAAAATGGAATCCCTGACTCAGTGTAGGTGCTCTAGAGATTTTTATGCAGATTACCAGATTGTTTTAAAAATTGTATTTTGAGGGACTGGAGAGATAGATCAGTAGTTGACAGCACATACTGCTCTTGCAGAGAATTCAAGTTTAGTTCTCAGTGTCCATGTTTTTAGACAGCAGGGGTCTGCAACTCTAGCTCCAGGGGGCCTTGATGGAGGAGGGTTATCTGTCTATTGTGTTATTTTCATTGGTCAATAAAGAGACTGCCTTGGCCCTTTGATAGGACAGAAAATTAGGTAGGCGGAGTAAACAGAACAGAATGCTGGGAAGAGGGCAATGAGGCGGACACTATGGATCCAGTCACCAGGTCAGACATGCTGAATCTTTTCCGGTAAGCCACCACCTCATGGTGTTACACAGATTATTAGAAATGGGTTAATATCAAGATATGAGAGTTAGTCAGTAACTAACTCTCTAGAGATAATGGGCCAGGCAGTGCTTAAATGAATACAATTTGTGTATTGTTATTTCTGGGACTAAGCTAGCCGTGCAGGAGCTGGGCAGGATGAAAAGCTGGCCTGCCCACAGCTCCTCACTACATATGGCACCCAGACGTGGATAAGTGAATCCACAAAAAGCCTGAGAAAGCTTGGGAAACAATAGAGTAAAGCATATTTTCTTGGTAGCAGCAATTTCTCGGGTCTGCTCTGCTTGCTAGAGGCAAGCAAGCACTCTCATCTAAGGGAGACTTCCTGACTCAACTTCAGCTGCAAAACCTTGCAGCTCTTTTAAAAGGTCCTACCACAAAACACTTAAACGGTGTTGGTGAAAAGCTGAACGCATGCTTTTCGGCTTTCAGCCGTAGCAAGCAAAAAGCTGTGCCGTTTTAAAACCCTGGCTTTCTGGGCTGTCCTGCCAGGGCAATCTCTGACTCTTTCAGCCAGGCAGTCTGACTGAGTGTGGTCTGTGAGCAAAATGCTGCAGCTTGCTTGCTAGCAAGGACCTTGAAACGCCATAGAGTTGTGGCAGTGAACACAGCTCTGGCTGGTATCTCAGCCAGGAGGCTGAAAGCTAAGGAATGGACTGGATCTAGCTGTCAAAGCCACGACTTTTTTTTTTTTAAATCAAAGTTCTTTTTTCTTTTTAATATTTATTTATTTATTTATTTATGTATACAATATTCTGTCTGTGTGTATGTCTGCAGGCCAGAAGAGGGCACCAGACGTCATTAGAGATGGTTGTGAGCCACCATGTGGTTGCCGGGAGTTGAACTCAGGACCTTTGAAAGAGCAGGCAATGCTCTTAACCACTGAGCCATCTCTCCAGTCCCCAAAGCCACGATTTTAAAGGAGAGGATTAATCTTCTCCTTAAAGACTCATGTAGTCAAAAAAGAAAGAGAGATACAGTAAAGAGAGATTCAAAGATGAAGAAAACCTCTAAAGAGTTTACAGTGTATTAAAAATATATGCAGGCTAAAGGTTAAAGTCATTAAAAATAAAGAAGAAAGAAAGGGAGAAATAGGGTGTGGTGGTACACACCTTTAATCCCAATGCCTGGGAGGCAGAGACAGACAGATCTCTGAGTTCAAGGTCTGGTAGCACACACCTTTAATCCTAGCACTGGGGAAGCAGAGACACATGGATCTCTGTGAGTTCAAGGTGTGGTAGCAAACACCTTTGAGCCCAGTTCTGGGGAGGCAGAGACAAAGGGATCTCTGTGAGTTCAAGGACAGCCTGGTCTACAGTGTTATTCCAGGACAAAGATATACAGAGAACCTGTCTCAAAAAGTAAAAGTAAAAATAAAAGAAATAGAGGTTAAAATAAAGCCACATAAAGATGGAAAATACACAGAGAATCTTGATACTGTGTGTTATTATGCTCTCTTTGAATTGTTTGAATGCTGAGGAAGGAGCAACAGTTGCTAAAATACTTTTGTTTATAAATGCTGCTGAATTAATCCAAGATAGATATTTTGAAAATACCTTTGCTTCAAAATTGAAGTCAAAAGGTATGCTACTTTGGAGAAGAGATTTTGCTTTTGTTTCCACAGAAAATGAAAGGCTCTGGATTTATTCAGAGTTAAGAAAAATCCAGTTTGAACAAGGGAGGCCACCTGAAAAATCTCCGACAGGAATAAATGGCCCAGATGTCTGAGTTCTACATCCAGAACAGATTCAGGACTGCTGCCTGAGATGATCGAGACTCAAAGGATACTCCAGACAGGACTTGATTATAACTCTAAATTTTCTTTAGGTCCCCATAAGATTATCAGCACCCCCAACCATCAGGAAGTAGTCTGAAATACTACACCCACATTCCCAACAAATAAACTATGGGTATTTTCCTTTGTTAAAAAAAAAAAAAAAAAAGAGGGAAATGGTGTGGGAGAATTGTCTGTATTCTGTCAATCATATTTTAATAAAACGCTGATTGGCCAGGCAGAAAGTATAGGCGGGGAAATCAGACAGGAAGTAGAGGTGATGCAATGAGAACAGGAGAATTCTGGGAAGCAGAAGCTTCCTCAGCCACTCCTGCACAGACCACAGAAGAGGCAAGATGTAAGCTGCCCAGCTGAGAAAGGTACCGTGTGGCTGACATAGATAAGGATAATGGGGTAACAAAAGTTATAAGAGCTAATAAGTAGCCTGACCTAATGGGCCAATCAGTTTTATAACCTTATGGAGTCTTGTGTGTGATTTCTCTTTGGGCTTGCCGGACGTGGGGTACTGGGCAGGACAGAAACTCCAACAAGCCAGCCCTCGTGTTACAGGGCCTTATGCCTCTGAATGCTAAGGGCGCGCGCACGCACACACACACACACACACACACACTTGCACAGAAATACTGAAATAAACTTTTTTTTTTTTAAGAAAAAGACTCATTTGTTTGTTTGTTTATTATATATAGTATATATTTAGTATGTACGCCTGCAGGCCAGAAGAGGGCACCAGATCTTATTACAGATGGTTGTGAGCCACCATGTGGTGGCTAGGAATTGAACTTTGGAAGAGACAGGCGGTGATGGTGCACACCTTTAATCCCAGCACTCAGGAGGCAGAGGCAGACACATCTTTGTGTGTTTGAGGCCAGCCTGGTCTACAAGAGCTAGTTCCAGGACAGGTTCCAAAGCTATAGAGAAACCCTGTCTCAAAAAAAAAGGGAAAAAAAAGGATTTTTAGTTAATTTTATATTTTATGTGCTTGAATATTCTGCCTACATGTGCATCCCCATGTGTGTGCTTGATACCTATGGGGTCCAGAAGAGGGCATCAAATCCCCTGGAACTGGAGTTACATGTGAGCTGCAAGCCAGGTTCTGGTAATTGAACCATGATCTTCTGAAAGAGCAGCCGTTGTTTACTATTTGGGGGTCTCCCACCCAGCTCCCAAATAAATACACTGAGATTTATTCTTACTTATGAGTGCCCGGCCTTAGTTTGGCTTGTTTCTAGCCAGCTTTTCTAGCCTAAATTAGCCCATTTCTCTTTAACTACATTTTAACTCTGGGCTTTTTTCCTTTATTTATTTTTTTTAAGATTTTTAAAAATTTATTATGTACACAGTGTTCTCCCTGTTCTGGCACTGCAGACTAGAAGAAGGCACCAGACTTCATTATGCATAGTTGTGAGCCACCTTGTATTACTGGAAATTGAACTCACGACCTCTAGAAGAGCAAGCAGTGCCTTTAACCTCTGAGCCATCTCTCCAGCCCCACCTTTCTTTATTCTATTCTTTTTTTCTTGCTCCGTGGGTGGCTGGCCTCTGGCATCCTCCTCTCCTCTTTTTCTCACTCGTTGCTCACTCTCTTCCCTAGATTTCTCCTCCTATTTATT